AAGCACAGAGCTATGTAGAGTATTATGGAAATGACTGTATGATTTCTGAGCCTGGGTCATAAAGGACTTTGTAGCTTGTGCCTTGATCTCGACTCACTCCGGAGAAGCCATCCATTATGCTGTGAAGACGCCACGCACGCAGCCCCCTGAGAGGGCCCACTAAAGAGAAGCAAGGCCTCCCACCGACCACCAGCAACGGCTCGAGGGCCGTGGCCTCCTTATAAGTGCGGGCCCCTGGACGCAAACCTTCAGTCCACAGTCCCAGCTGACATTTGGACTGCAATCTCAGGAGAGACCTCAAGGCAGATCCACCAGTTAAGCCACTTCTGAATTCTTAACCCACAGAAACTGAGATAATGCAAGTTTATTATTGTTTTAAGCCACTAAGTTTTGGAGTACTCTGTTACACAGCCACAGATAACTAATACAGTGCTCAAAAAACCTTAAGCTCTTAGAAGCAGAAGTTCATGTTCATTCTGTTTCACCAAGAAACTTCCCCTTTCATGAAAGAAAGACTGCCTTTGCAGCAAATTTTAAGCCCTCTATCACAGGGCAGGAGATGCAGATAATGAGGAATATCTTTTAAGGACTGGAGTGGGGAGGGTGTTGGGTGGTACTATTAGGTGACCACAGGGCTTCCCAGGCAGCACTTGTGGTAAAGAAGCCGCCTGCCGATGCAGGGGACATAAGGGATGCGGGTTTGATCCCTGGGTCAGGAAGATCCCCTGGAGGTGGACATGGCAACCCACTCCATATTCATACCTGCAGAATCCTCATGGACAGAGGAGCCTGGTGGGCTACAGTCCATAGGGTAGCAAAGAGTCAGACATGACTGAAGCAACTTAGCATGCACGTGTGCACTCACTGAGGTGACCACATGCCTTATTCCCATGAGCACTGCATCATATCCATTGAAAAGTTCAAGATTCCATTACTGATATCACCAGCTGGGGCACCTGCCCTAATACAATCACAAATCAGTAGGCTATTTTGCATTTTCAATATCCATTTGCAGACCCCAAATATACCACCTTTCCCCATGATTCCCTCCATTTGTGGCCTTCTTTCTTTACTGACTTCTCCTGGCAACAGAAAACAATGAAAGAGAAGCATGCAAAGCAATGTTTCTAGTAAAGAATCTTGTTTTCCTATATGTTGTATCTTTCCCATCAGAGACACGCAGGGAGCAGGAGTGGGTTTAATATTTTTGTATTAACAAGACTCAGAGTAGTAACATCCCTCTGCAGCTCCTGCCGTCACATCCAAATCAATCATCATCTTATCAACCCACCCAAACGCTCCAGGTCCCATTGCCCTGAACAAAACTCCTCATCTATTGTTGCAGAAAAAGCTTCAGAACCAAAGGGAAGTCCTTAACGTTTCCCCAGGCTCTGTGATGAATGGACCGCCTTCTCTCTCGTTCTATCCTAAACATTGGGACACAGATGAGTAAGAGGTCACATTCTGGCAGTCAGATGCTCTCCGCAGATACACTGTTGATGGGGTCTCACTGGCTACAGCCACGTTAGAGATGATCTAGTGACACTATGATTTTGCATCGAGCACTAATTTAACACTGACTTTAGATCGGAATGCACACGTCAGATGCAATCTCACTGTAAGATAAGGGGTCATGAGAGCAACACCAGGGGCACGAGAATGATGGGAGCAGAACCGGAAGTGCCGATTAGGAAACAGGCAGCCACATAGCTTCCTACAGGACATATGCCAACTCAAGCACTCGACAAAGCAGGTATATGCTGAATGCCTGCCATGTGCCAAGGTCTATGCTAGGCTGCTTGTGCCGATGTTATGACCTCCTCAGTCTTCAGAGCAACCCAATCTACTAGCACACGTTTCGTTTATAGAATGGCATAATCCAGGGGTGGACAAACTACAGCCCCAGGGCCACCCAGCCTGCGGCCTGCTTTATAAGTAGTTTACACTGGAATATAGCCACACCCATTGCCTACACACCATCTATGACTGTCTGCACACTACTAGGGCAGAGCTGGTGAGTTGGGACAGAGACTGTGGCCCATGCAATAGATTGAACTGCGCTCAAGTCCTGACCCATAATATAACAGCATTTGAATATAGGGTCCTTAGGAGGTAATTAAGGTTAAATGACGTCACAAAGGTGGGGTGCTAATCCAATAGGACTGTGGCCCTGTAAGAAGGAGAACCCTCCAACCCCACATGAGAAGCACAATTGTTTTTCAGGACTCAGAATGTGGACAAAGCCAATAAACCCTTGTTCTGTCAGTAAGAAGGGAAGCATGGAGATTGTGCAGGCATGGAGCATTCTCGACCGCATCACTTGGTTTAGAATTTTCACATCTAAAAATTTCTTACAGCCCATGCAGACATGAGTAGGAGAACATTCATCTCAGCAGTGTTAATACAGAAAAGAGAAAACTGGCAACCTCATAAACATATGTACCTGATGCTGGGTATCCACCCAGATCCGTTTCATAGGCTGGCATCCCTAGACACAAAAAGCAGTAAGAGCCGGCCACTAATGGCTCAAACCGGAGTCCCCTCTGGAGGAGCTGCCTGGGTGCCACTCCACTGATAAATCATCTTGCAAATGCCTAGCACAGGCACTGCTTCTAGGAGACCCGAGCTCAGACAACATACATCAATAGAAGACTGACCATTCGGATTAAGATGTAAGCATATAATAATGAGTGCCAGTTAGAATTAAGCAAAGCTATATACAATGATATGGGCAAGATGTCTGAGATTTTCACTGAATGCAATAAAAAGCAAGTTGAAGAACATTACGTGTAATCTGCTCTGATCTGTGTAATATAAGAATATTCCTCAATAGGCTTAAGCATATTTAGAACTTTTATAGAAGAATACAAAAGAAACTGTGTTTGTTTCCTCTAGCTACCTTTTCTTCTTCTCCTCTTCTGTCTTATTTAAATCAAGAAAAATACGTTTTTCTTTTATGACTTGAATTTTTTTCCTTAAAATATCTCTATTATCTAACATGATCAGAGGTTGAGATTTTTGCTCAGCACAGTGTCTGCTACCAAATGGTTTCAAACTTTAAAAGCATTAAATAGAAGGCTTAGGTTCCAGTCCAGCTCTGCTATTTACTAGTTAACTTAGGTAGGTCATTCCACCTCTTAGATGCTAACCTGTAAAATATGAGTTAAAGTAAATATATTAACCCCACAGTGCTATTTGAGAAACAGATGAAATAATGCGTGCATAAGTATTCTGTGAACTATAAATCTCTACACCACAGTTAGGTTGCTATCAGTAATGATACCAACAGTACATCAAGACCTTAAATGTCCATGGATACAAATTAAATATTTTTATGTGGTATGCCCCAGCCATGGTTCTGTGATGCAGATAAGAAAGATTGATTCTGGTTGATTTATATGGAAAAGGTTATCAGGAAGCTCACAGAAGCATTCAGGAAGCCTGGGTAACAAGAGTTGGAGAAACAGCAGTAGAAAATGTGGTTTTTCATTCGGAATTACAGAAAAAGCACATCGTAGCTTTTGTTACAGTCTGGTTAGGATGGGTTGTGGCCACACATGCTGGAGGCCATAGCTTTTTCTCCTAGCCCCACTGACCCTGCTGATTCTGAGCCCTGGAGAGAGGTCGTTCCCCTGAACTGGCACTGCTGTACCAGAAATATGAATACAGGTGCAGCATCATTGAAAAAAATATCCTCCTGCCACTATCTCATCCCCATCACTGGCTACCAAGGCAAAGTTCAGAAGGAGTTTTCCCATCCTAGCTGCAAGAGAGTCTGAGAAAGTGAACATTTGGCGTGTTCTGTTTTGGATTAAAGAATCTGATTCTGGGACTTGCCTGGTGGTACGGCAGATATGAATCCACCTGCCAATGCAGGGGACATGGGTTCGATCCCTGGTCTGGGAAGATCCCACATGCCACAGAGCAACTAAGTCTGTGCCAGTACAACTACTGAATCCACAGGCTGCAGCTACTGAAGCCTGTGCACTAGAGCCCTTCTCTCGCTCTGCACAAGCGAAGCCGCCTCAGTGAGAAGCCCATGCACCACAGGGAAAGGCAGCCCCCACTCACTGCAACTAGAGAAGGCCTATGCACAGCAGCGAAGGCCCAGGGCAACCAGAAATAAAGAAATACACAAAAACTTTAAAATAATTTTTTTAAAGAATCTGATTCTAACCAAGATTTATATGGTAGAAAAATTTCTTCCAACATTAGAAGGGAATTCAGATGCCAAGAACACACACACAAACAAAAAGATAAATGTTACCTATATTATATCAGCATAGAAGTCCTTGTGAGTAGCCAAAACCCATGTCATCTGTATCTATATATTTACAAATACATTCACATAAATTGGGTTCTCAGGGAAGCTGACTCTGAGACAGAGATTAGCATGCAGGGATTTTATTAGGAAGTCCTCTTAGCATCAACATCCTTGAGGGAAGAAGAGAGCAGGGGGATTAGACAGAAGGAGAAATTGGGTTGCTATGCAGTCTCAATGCGGGACTTGCAACACTGTGATAACAAAAGGGCTGCCACAATCCCAGCCACTGCAGCCACATGCAAAGACAGGACACTGGGAATATAAAACACAAAAAGCTCAGAAGTCTTTTGCTCAAATGGTTTTCTTTCCCAGATCCCAGGTTTGTTTTGTTTTGCTTTTCTCCCCGCATAAGTTCTAGAAGACTACATCTCACATTTCACTGGCCAGAACCAGATTACATGAGCATTGTTAGCTACAAGAAGGGCTGGGAAGTGAGTTTCTGGCAAGGAAGAGTCAGCCATGTTTGGGTTGGATTCACAGGCAAATAACAAAACATATACAGTGCGCACCTTCACATTACTACAACCTGGTGTCGCTCACTGAGCACTTGCTCAGAGCTAACCGCTGAGCTAAGACTTTTACATCAAACATCTTGAGTCTCACCTTGGCCCTATTCGGTGGGTTCTATCATCATGCCTAAATCACAGAAGAGGAAACTGAAGTTTGGAGCAGTTGTATGTCCAGCATCAACACGATTAGTAAGCAGAAGAGCTTCAACTTAAAGCCAAGCCTGACTGACCCCAGAGTCTGTGTTCACTGCTGCTTCACAGCATATGACCACAGGTATAGTTATACTAGGAAAGTGGACCAGGGACAAAATCAAGGGACCTGAGAGATCAGGAAGATTTGCGGAAGTCCAGGACCTGGGCTGGACCACACGCAGAGAGGAGCAGAGAGAACGCATTTCTTCTTCTCTGAACCTGCTTATGGATGCAAAGGAGAAAATCAAAATGCAAAGGAATTAAAATGTTTGCACCAAACTATACTTGCTACTCAGTGTATGGTCCCAAATCAGCAGCATAAGCATCTCCAGGCAGCTGGTAAGACATGCAAATCTCAGGTCCTTCCCAGACTGAGTCAGAATCTGCATTCAGGAAGGTCTCCAGGGGATCCACATGCACTTAAAAATTTCAAGCGGCATTGTTCTAGAGGCTTCATTGAGAGCTCAGGCTGGGAAGTAGGCAGAACAAGCCCTGAATTCTGGCTTTGAAACCAACTCTCTCTGTAAAATGGACTGAGTATAACAGTAAGAAGCCAGTCACCATGTTCATACAGACCCGCTCATCTTGTCGCCATAGGCCATAAACAAAGCTGTGGGTTAAGCACTGTTATTACTGACAGAGGGGGGTACCATTTAGTAACTCGAACCCATTTCACATAACCAATAACTTGGCAAAAACTAAGATGCAAAACCTCCACAACTTGATTCTAGAAGTTAGCTCCTTCTGAAGTATACAACATCCCTTAATGGCAGATGGCTTGAGGAAAGAATGAGATCATCTTCGTAAAAGACTTAATACGGTGCCTGGTACTTAACACACATGAATAATGAAGAGAAATAGTCTGACTCCCTTTAATGAGATTTGAGCCATGAACTCTCAATCACCTAAAAGTAGCTATCTGTTGAAAAGTTCTAATACCAGCTTCTACCAACACCCAGAACACGTTTCAACAAGTTTCTTCTCCCATCAGTCCATGTATTATCAAATGAAAATAAATTTCACTACTAGCCTAAAGCAAAATGTAATTAGAAAGGTGAAACTGCAGCTCCGAGTCAAAAATGGACCTCCAAAGTCACACTTAAATGATTTTGGGTTTTCCACTGTTTCGAATTATCTATGCCACTGCTCCGCTTATTGGCACTGCTAACAGAGTGTTAACTACATTACATGCAATTAAATTCAAAATATTTGTGCAGCAGTTATATGGATTCATCAAACCTAATGGTGCAGTCACAATTTCGTGTGTACTCATCAGTACTGCTCAGGAATAAAAAAAAAATTGGCATATAGAAATATCTTCCCACAAGCTTATAATTATAAAATACACATTGTGTCTGATGTCCTCATAGTAGCTGGCATCTATCAATAGTAAACAAATTAGAAGTTTCTCACAATACTGATCTTACTGCTATTAGTATTTTCACATGTCCTTCATTAGGGACCAGATATATCAAGACGCATTGGAAAAGACCCTGATGCTGGGAAAGATTGAAGGCAGAAGGAGAAGATGCTGGCAGAGGATGAGATGGTTAGACAGCATCACCGACTCAATGGACATGAATTTTAGCAAACTCCAGGAGATAGTGAAGGACGGGGAAGCCTGGCTTGCTGCAGTCCATGGGGCCACAAAGAGTCTGACATGACTTAGCAACTGAAAAACAACATCAGGAGGGTGTTTGCTCAGCAACCAATGAGATACCCACACCTGTGTTTATTCTTTTGTTTACAAGGGTAAACTTCTTCGTTTGAAGTCTTCCCATCTTCTTGTTTTGGCTAGCATATGAACTCACTGTCGATCCCTAACCCCATACTCTTGGTGATGGGAGCCAAGACGGACACTCCCCGGACACAATGACAGCCTCCTCCTTCAAGCATTCATGACTCTCTCCCTGGGAGCTTTCTCTGGTACATTGAGAGCTTACTCAGCCGGGAGTTAAGGGCCCCACGGGGAAAACCCTCAACCAAGTAGAAGAAAGGCAGCTGAAGGAATCACACCCTAGCTTCTCCGCCACGTGCTGGATCACTTCTGAAGCTGACCCCACACAGCTCCTCGGGGTGTCCCCAGTGGGATCCCAGGTGCCCACAGTAGTAAGCAACTGGCTAGTACTTCTTTTATTGACTCTCCTCCCTTCTTTGTCTCATTTTCCCTACTCTCTCACTTGTGCTTCCTGAAATCACCTTCCAAATACACTCCCTGGACCCAAGCTCTTGGTAAAGTGTCTGCTCTGGGCTAGTCAACACAACCCGTCTTGTAGAGGTACTTGACCCTGTTACAAAACTCCCCCGGCAGAAGCTATAATCTCACTTTCCTGGACTCCTTGGGAATAAGGATACATAACGTAAGCTCCAACAATCGAGTGAGTCTTGGAAGTTTATGACACAAACAGGCAGGGCCTGCGGATAGTCTATTCCCACAAAGGGAGGCGCAGCAGGGACTGTCTGTCTTCCAGTGGCTGCAAAACTGGTTTCCAGAAAGTCCCATTTCTGGGGAGAGGGGAAGCCTGGTGGAGGCAGTGGCATCGGGCCCAGGGTGTCTTCACAATGCCAGTCCCCCCCGCCCAGAAGGATCCTGGCCCTTTTCCTGGCTTCTCTGGCCCTTGCAGATCCTCTAATTAATTCCTTTTCTGTTTCAATGAGCCAGAGTTCGTTTTCTGTGCCTTGAAACTGAAAAGACCAACTGATATGGTTATGTTCTCCTGATGTATAAAAAGAACAGGGATATTCATTATGACACCATCTATCAGGGGCGAATATTGGAGACAAGCTAAATATCCATCAGGAGGAAACCGATCAATCACGAAGGATCAAGTCAATGGCTAAAAAGTAACAAGACAGCTCTGAATGTGCGTATGTGGAATTATCCCAAGATTAAGTTTAAAAATCAGAACCATGTATGTAGTTTGCTATCATTACTGTTTTTTTATATATATGCATATAAACAGATATGTTTATGTATGTACATGTGTATATGTACAGTTCTTCATATAGAAGATAGATAGAATGTCCGACATACTTGCACAAGCATCAGATGTCTCTAGAGGGATATGGTAACAGGGTTTATATCTTGGAGGAGAACAAGGATCCTGAAAAATCAGGTATGGACCAAGTCTTTGCCCATACACGCATCCTGAATGTGTGCTAAGTCGCTTCAGTCATATCTGACTCTTTGTGACCCCACGGACGGTAGCCTGCCAGCCTCCTCTGTCCATGGGGACTCTCCAGGCAAGAACACTGGAGTGGACTCCCATGCTCTCCTCCAGGGGATCTTCCCAACCCAGGGATCAAACCCGCATCTCTTGAGCCTCCTGCATTGGCAGTTGGGTTCTTTACCATTAGTGCAACCTGGGAAGCCAAGTCTTTACCTGTATATCTTTTAAACTTTTGAGTTTATACTTAGGAAAATTTTTCATCTGTGCAAAAATAAATAAAATTTAAAGGAACTCAACAATCTGAAGAAGAAGAAAAAGGCAAACCTGATGCACATAGTCTGAGGCAAGACCAAATATTCTGCATTTTTTAGCAAATAGTTCCAGCACCTCTGACTTCAGGTGCCTCCAAAACCCTGGTCTACATCGTCAGGGATCAGGAGTGGTTTGCGCTATTCTAGACCATCCAGATCTCAGCACTGAGCCCAAATTAAAATTGTATTTTTTAAGTCAATACTTTTTTTAAAGGGTTTATGCTGGGAAGATACGCATGCACTCACATCCAAAGATTTCACCAGGTGTGTGATGGGCACACCAATATATTGACAGCCAGCAGGGTTTCCTAGGCCCAGACCAACTACCCAAGAGCAAAAGTTCTGATCTTTACCTCCTTTCCCATCCTTCTTGAAATATTAAGTGGATATGATCCTATGGTCATAATGTGCTTTTATTAACATGTCTACATCATCATATACACACTCACACTCACACACACCTGCACACTATTCTCCACTCTCATAAACCTGGAAGTTCCTAGAGTGTTTTCCACCAGAATACATTTTGAGCCTGAGGACAAAGGTCACTCTTTGAAAGTTGAAAGGTCACTATTCCAATTGTGTATGAACATGGCTCCTTTTCTTGGCTAAAAGTCTTCCTGCCTGATGCCAACTTTTGTCTGCTTCTTACTTTTTTTAACTTTCTTTCTCTGGGCATCATGCCAAACATCTAAGGAGGTGACCCACTTTATCAATCTATTATAATCTTTTAAAGCCTCTACCATTTCAAACTAATTTATTTTTACATGGCATCTTCCATAAAAGTTATCTCAAAATACTTTGAGAAGAGGTAAAATTACGATGAAACAGTTTAAGCATTTTAAACTTTCTGGTTGTGAGGATCAAGAGTTAAGCACATTTTGATAATTTCCTGCAAGCGCACAGCTCTCACTGTACTAAAGCTGCACTATTCTCAGCAACTCCCGTTTAAGACAACAGTGGCTGGCAAAAACTGAAACCTAGGTCTCGATTATTCAGAGCGTGAGAAACAGAAAAGCTGAATGGGGAAAACACAGTCGCACTGGATTGAGACCTGCGGCCATCCAGTTAAGCCAGCGCCCTGCCCTGCTCCCCCCCTCACCTCGGCCTGGTGTCCCCCCGATTCTCTCACTGGGGTTTGACTCGGGTCCTTTTTTGCAACTCTTCCCTGCTCTGGCCTCTGTGACTCTAACCTCCACAAGTTCTCCTCCTAACATTCTGGCCATTTCTTTTCCCTCATTTTTCCTGGAATTTTCCACCTGTCCCCTGGTTTTCCCCCAAAACTGCCTTAAGGAATTGGTAGGAGATCTAAATTTATACCAAAGCTAGTTCTGATCCCCCTTCTCTCCTTTTCTTGCTTGCGTCTTCAAGCAAGATGATGGCTTTACTCCCAATGGAGTCGTCTATCTTCCTGACCAACATGCATTACTCTTCTTTAGTCCTGCTCAGAATCTACTTTTTCTTATGTGGATAATTACCCCCAAGATCTCCTTTGGGAAACAAGACCTCCGCCATCGGTGGTCCATGTGTTTTAAGTGGGGTCTCCACCAGGCCTGGGTTAGAGAGGTGGGCATGAAACCCTGATAGACCCAATCAGAGTT